GGTGCGAGCTTACTGACTGGAAGATATGCGGTTCGAAACCAGCCCCGGCACCTTGACTACTTGTCTACGGTTGTGAAACCTGGCAGTGTCTCAACCCCCGTGCTCCCTTTAGATGCAGCTAGGCACCGAAAGGGTATTATAACTGAGGGTATTTAGGAATACGCACCCGGACAACTGTGACACCAAGGGATTCCATATACACACCCCAAATTTTCGTCAAATGCTGACAGCAGTTTTCGTCTCCTCCAATGTGGATTCACGAAGCTTCCCGGTGCGTGCGGACAGTCAGTCTTACCTAGCGTTGAGCCGGACTGTGGTTGCGAACGGGTATCCGGAAGGGTCACAATTCAACTGGATATATGACCTTTTGAAGAGTACGGCTGGGTTGTACCACAGGTCGAAGTTGCAACCTAAAGTACCGTTCTGAATTTCTTTCCAGTGACTGGTGACATCTAACACCGAACTAGCAGACAGGCCTTGGGGGGAGACTGTTCTAATGAGTTTGATTTCTGGGTCCATGGACTCCCCACTTGTCGAGCGAGGTATTCGTGTTTTATGGAAACCAGAATCGTACTGAACGGTCAAGAGACTGATCGAAATTCACACAGACATTCCAGAGGGGGCAGCAGGCAGTGATCGAATGTCGCCACCCATCACTGATGACAGTGTGGTTTATTGGATTTCGGAGCAAGTTTGTTGGTGGACATCACGTTTCAGAAGTTGATATCACACGACTGCAGTAGTCAATCACTGCTGTCCGTGCGCCCCCCACCCAATGAAAGACGATCACTGGACTGAGCCCCAGTAGCGTCACACCTATCTGCGTGCGCATTCATGGCAATAGCGAGCATTACGATCCATGAACTTCTAACCTGTTGCAAAGGAACTTCATCGGGAATATCCTTGGTAGATTCAGGGCTACAGTTTGTCAGGGAATGCACACAAAACAGAGAGCGAAGGACGTTGCCGAAAAAACAGCTCAGAGGTGGCTATCAGACGATATCCAACAAATCAGGCAAGCTTACAGGGGATGGCCGAACACTATGCCCATGTTCAGCTACGGGAATCTTCGCACTGCCAGGAGAGCGCAAGCGGAGCCAAGAAAAATGGCGTGTCAGTCAGTTCGACGACAATGTATCCAAGATTCTTGCTTCCCCTTTAAGGCATGGATGAGAAGTGGGGCTAGACTGACCGGCTTTAGGGGGTCTGAATATTGGTTTTAATGTGACCAAGACTGTTACTGAAGACGGACGTGTAGAAGTTGCCATCGTGCGAGATGGTCCAAGTGGTTAGAGCGCGAATTTACTGACCGGAGGGTCCGTGGTTCAAACCCGACCTCTACCTCTCGATTTCCCGTCTAGGCTTGTGCAACCTGGCAGTATCCTAGCCCTCGTGCAACCTTCGGATGGCATGGCAGTTAGGCACCGAAAGGATGCTACAGCTGAAAGATTTGTGAACAAATATGTTATTCTTGGCACTGACACATGTATGGAAAATACTCACGATGCAATGGGGAAGAATACACGAAGCTGCAAGGTAAAAGTTGGCAGCCGCTTGTCTTCGCATACGTGCAATGCCGTATGCAGCAAGTAAGGCAACCAGATAGATGGTTATGCGACGGCCCATGTCGCCAGGGTGCCCATAGTTAGGAGGGCACATGTTTAGGGACCTCAGTCAGAACCCTTGGATGAAACGCCTGAACTGGATCGATCAAAAGTAATCGAAGTTCTGCCAGGTGGGCCTGGGGCGTCATTATGGATACCAGAAAATGCTTATCGCTGGGGAACAAAGTGGATGGGTTTCACCCCATTACTTAGGGTGTTACGACGGTCAGGTCCTAAAGAACTATTCCATCTTTGGTAACATTTCACCGAGATATCTGAGATTACAGGTGATGCGAGCGACACCTACATATATGGTCTTCAGAAGTGTTAGTGCGTGCTAACTGAGCCACAGTACTTTCTTGAATTGGTTCACTCTCAATATATTCATTCTTTACTCAGCCCTCCTTCGGATTTGACCACTCAAGTACGTAGACAATTCAGCAATTCAAGTTCGATCAATTTCCTAAATCAACTGGCTATCACACAGTTACAACAGGAAGGATAGAAGAGGGAGTTCTAGCCTACCACAATCATTCTGATATACGTACATCTCCATACACCCATGGAGATAGTACGGGTAAAAACGGACTACAGGTACGTCACAGAGATCGATTAGCAGCTGTATCCTAACCATACACACGAGGATCGCACGGTTTTCATTGTGTAAGGTGAATTGCACCGACAGTGCCGCAACTTTTTGTGATGGCTTTCATACACTTATGTCAGACCAAAGGTTAATCATTACTGATACGGACACGGAAAGTCATTCTCCTCAAAAGACGATGGTTCGAGATGGCTGTCATGGCTATCATTTGTGTTCACACTTCGTACTAACCACGCTTTCGGCCTATGTACGACTATTCTTAGACAAGTGAAGTGATATTCAGTCTTGCTCTCGCGCGCAGTCAGAATCGATACTCTATCTGTAACAATTCATTTGTCTAAGAATAAAATGGAACTGTTGCGGCGACACAGATCCAAATTCTCCAGACGACACGTGTTAGAATCATTGGTCCCGAACATTCCAAACGTTTCTGGGCACTATCGAATCGCCCAATCTAAAAAAAAAACACGAAAGTATGATCCATTTTGTGAATGCACCTGTATACGTTTACATCGCTGACTGTCCTGATTACGAATCCGCTATCAGTACACTTGGAAAGTTGCACTTTCGTTCTAGGGATATAATCTATGCTCGTCATCTTCTACTTGCAAACAGGACAAGTAAATATGTTGATCAAAGGCTTAAATCCTTGACCAAAATCATGATTTCAAGGCGGTGTCTAC